CACTCTTACACACGCGGCCGGCGCCTCTCGCGGCAAAAGGGTCGAGCGAGCGGGCAGAGTCGCGATGTCTGCGCACCCGCGTGCCGATGGGCGGCACACGCAACCGAGAGAGGCCCTGTCGCGCCGCCAGTAGCGTTCTCCGCACTCCCCACGCCACCAATTGCCGCCTCAGGGCGCCAGCCACCTCTTACACGCCGCGGCCGGCGCCCTCTCGCGGCAAAAGGGTCGAGCGAGCGGGAGAGTCGCGATGTCTGCGCACTCGCGTGCCGATGGGCGGCACACGCAACCGAGAGAGGCCCTGTCGCGCCGCCAGTAGCGTTCTCTCCGCACTCCCCACGCCACCAATTGCCGCCTCAGGGCGCCAGCCACCTCTTACACGCCGCGGCCGGCGCCCTCTCTGAGGTGCACGTGTTCACGGGCAAGACGACTCGCGCAGATCAAATGACCGGCAGCGACGTGTATAGGTGTACTGGTAGTGGGACATGCCTGCGCCAATACAGGGGCCCAGGCCGACGTCATTCTCGATGATTACTGCGGCGAATTGCCTGTCGATCTGCTCCTCACCCTGCTGGACAGGTATGCATATCTCCAATGCCGACGAGTCGTGATCACCTCAAACGCTCCTCCCGAGAGGTGGTATTCAGATCTCGACGACAACACAAAAAGAGCTCTCGTCTGCGCCGCTTAGGCCGTTTAGCCAGTGACCAATCGCTCGGGTACACCCACATCACAACCACGCACACGTGATGCCTCTCATTACGGGTCTGTACCAACCGCGGTCCAGTTGAGTCGGTTGCGTCGCTCAGACGCGTTCACGTGAGCCGTGACTGGTGTGTGGAGGCTGGAGCGCACGCGGCCGAAATAGACCGTGTAAGTAAGTGATCAGTAACCAGCCTCCGGCGGGGCCCCCCCTACCATCCAAACCCGAGTACCGGTCTACTATCATAGATAGAGGCTCAAGTGTGTGACATAACGGTCCACACACATACGACATACACATACACAAAGCAACTCTCTCACGACACACGGGCATTGGGTGGAGCGGCGGCGGCGGCGGCAGCTGCACGCGCGGGCGGACGGATTCGGACGGGGCGGAGCAGCGACCGCCTGGGCGGCCGCTGCTCTGTCTGCCCTAGGTCCTGCTGGGGGCGCGAGGCCATGGAGAGAGCGCGTAGATGCCTCGTGCGTCTCCAAAAGAAGAATTCTATTCATCGCTGCTCGACGCCAGGCCTTCTCTTGCCTCTCTCCGCGGCCTTGTTGCGGCCTTCACCCGCCTTCTTGCGGCCTTCTCCCGCCTCTCTCCGCGCTCCTCTCTCTCCGCTCTCCGCGCTCCGCCGGTCAGCCATTCCCCGCCTACTGCTCCTCGCGCTCGTGCCAGCCATGGCGTTGGCCTCCAAGCAGGAGGCACTGGTCGCGTCGTACAAGGCCGCAGTCGCAGCGCACCAGGCTTCGGAGCTTGACACCGCACTCGAGCACTACCGCGCTTGCGTGGCGATCAAGTCCATCCCGGCAGTGCACAACAACATGGCTGCAATCCTGCTGAGCCAGGGCGACAAGGCCGCGGCCGAGGAGAACTGGCGGCTCGCGGTCGAGGGCAAGCCGGATTATGCCGAGGCGCACTTCAACCTCGCAGTCGTGCTGTCGGAGAGCGGCGACGATGCCAAGCTGGCCGAGGCGCGGCGGCACTGCGAGCTGGCGATGGAGCACAAGGAGGGGTACGTCCAGGCCCACCACCTGATGGGCAACATCCGCATGTCGCAGGGCGCGCAAGAGGAGGCGACGGGATGGTACGCAAAGGCGGAGGCGCTCGGTGGCTCGGCGGCGGCGCCGGCGCCGGCGAGCTTTCGGTGGGAGGGCGTCGAGGTGGGGCACGTGCGCACGCTGCGGCTGCCCGACGGCACGTCGTGGAGTATGCAGACGCTCTCCCTCCGCCCGCTCTCCTTTTTGGTGCGCGACTTTCTGAGCGAAGACGAGTGCGAGCGGCTGATTGGCCTCGCAAGGCCGCGGCTGCAGCAGTCGTTGACGATGGGCAACGCGTCGGCGAGCGAGCGCACCTCCGAGAGCGTCTTCCTCCCGGCGGCGGAGGACGGCCTGCTGCGCGAGCTGCAGGAGCGGCTCTCCGCGCTGACGCGGCTTCCGCTGCAGCAGGTGGCCGGCGGGGAGGACATCCAGCTGGTCCACTACCCGCAGGGGGCGGCGTTCGGGATGCACCACGACTCGTCCGCCTTCCTCCCGCGCCTGCTCACCGCCTTTTACTACCTCAACGAGGTCGAGGGCGGCGGCGAGACCGCCTTCCCCGCCGCCGACGGCGCGATGAGCCCAGACGAGGCGCTGGCCCTGGCCGAGCCGGCGGCGGCGGGCGGCGGCTTGGTCGTGAAGCCGGCCCGCGGCGCGGCGCTGCTGTGGTACAACCACGGCGAGGACGGCAGCAGGGACGCGTGCGCGGTGCACGCTGGCTGCCGCGTGACGGCCGGCGAGAAATGGGGAGCGAACCATTGGGTGCGCGTTCGAGGTGCCACGCCGGGAGAGGAACCGTCTTCGTAGCGGCTTAAAAATCAATTTGACTTTTTGACTTTTGCGAGACACAACCCACACGTGACCCAGAGAGACATATAAAGCCGTATGCGGTATGGGAGAAAGAATGGCGCCCGCGCGGGGAATGCGAATGGGCCTTCACTGGGTCCTCGAAGGAAACTCGAAGCACGAAGGATAGACGATAGAGGTGTTTGACGCGTTTCAAAACGGATCACTCACCCCTCTCAACCCGCACTCTCCCCTCGCCCCCCTCGCCGCCTCGGGCGTGGACCACGTGCTCGCTAGCAGCCGGGGCGGCACAGCGAGCTCCACCCGCACCTCACCCTCAACGCCGCCCCCTCCCACCCCGACCCCGATGCAGCTGATCTGAGGCCGCGCACGGCTCTTCCTGAGAGCGTTGCAGTAACGCGGCAGCTCGCCGCGCTCGCGCCTCGCGTACCGATCCCCCACGACCGGGCATCCCGCGTGCGCGCGCAGGAAGAAGCAGAGGTCGCCGCAGAGCCGGCCACGCCTGCCGCCGCTGACCAGCCGCAGCGTCGTGAGCTGCACGGGGCTCGTCTCCGCCGTGGCAGAGACGACCATGACGTGGACGGGGCACTCCGCGGTGACATCCGCCGAGCTGCCGCTCGCCGTGCCGCCCTCCTCCTCCTCCTCCACCACCACC